TTCAACAGCTAACTTGGATTTCGAAACTTGGATTTGTTCTTTCGTAGTGTGGATTAGGTAGCGAACTTGTACTAGAATTCCAAGTTTATATGAAAACTTCGATCTTTGATTTTGGATACTTTGATACGACGTCTGGACTGGCTCTAATCATCTGTGAGATTTGGAGCACAGATAGATGTTTGCAAGCAAGCTAGCTAGTTAGAGTCAGCATGTCAGCATCACCTACTGTAGAGATTCCACCAGCCTGATGAGCGTTGGCAATTGGTATGAAGTCTTGATGAAATATGGCAAAGTCTAGCTAGCTGGAGGCGCGACAGATTGGGGGATTTTGCACAATTAGCCACGAAGAGTCAGATCCTCAGAAAACACCGCCATGCAATTTGTGCTTGGTTCCATGTCCACAGTTTGTACTGTCCCCGAAGGATCAATTGCGTGGTCCCCGGGTGAAGGCCGCTGTTATGGGAATGGACAAGCAGACAACACTTGTGGAATACCGACTGCCACCACAACAGCACAGAATCATATTACTGAATAAAGTATACTCGGTACCGGTAGGGATCCAAGGCCAGCAGCTTTGGAGACAATCTCATTGATCTCATCCTGTTTGCTTTGATGCCATCGGACACTATCGGACTGCGGTATAAAATAAATAGCATTATCCTTACTCGAGTTGTTAATTCCAAACGAATTTTGTCCAACAGAACGATTTCGAATACCGAATCGAATCGTCGTGACACCAAAATTCTCATCAAGTGCACCGCCATACGACCGGTGTCAACGACTTTCTCCGCATCAGTTCTCGTTCGCATTTTCACCGGGTTTAGCGTCACAAAGTGACCTTACACTGCACACCACTGTATAGATTTGTACTGATTGATAATGTGATTGGCAGAGCAAACCTGTCATTAATTTCCATGATTTAATGATCTTTATTCTGCTTCACAGATTCAATGACACAGATTCTTGAATCAGTGTTCTCAGCAATTCCTGGAATATATATTGCATTTATACCCCACCATTGGAGGATGTGACGATAACATATGACGTGATAAAACATAGAAGTAAATTTTCATACAAGGGAGTTGATGTAATCCTTTTTCCTCCTCATTCAGCTGATTGGGCCTGTGACGCGACTGGTCTGAGGACTCGCATGTTCGCTGGATGGTCTGGGAATTTTCAGGCAGCTGCGGTGTCTTTGGGCAGTGAGAATGGTGCTTCAGTCTGCTGCTGCCCATTTGAAGACTGAAGCAGTGGCAACTTTGCAACCACAAACCCATCCATTTTGTTTGCGTCTACGTCTGGAAGAGGAGTACCTTGCTACTGATTCGGAGGAGGAGGTAGTTAGCTAGCATTGTTGGCGGCTTTTGGAGTTTGAAGATTCGCTGATTGACAGTTGACAGTTCAAGCAGTTTGCTTTCTGGCATCACCATAGTTTCAGCTTCGCCGAGATTCCCATTCAGTTAGACACAACAACCATGCCTCTGCTTCGAACCTTTCACCGCAGTCACTCGTTGTCGGACGCGGACAAGGCATACCGACGGGCCGCTCGTGAGCTGCGCGACTTTCATCGAGCTCGTTCACTGGATGTCATTCTGGAGGAAGCCCATGACCACGATGACGACCCCAGTCACCACAGTCATCAAGGAATGCTCCAAAAGAAGCGAGCGTGTTTGTGTCTAGCCGATTTGGTCGTTGAGGATGATGTCGATGGCAGCGAACACAGTGCTCCCGAGGAGCACACCAAGGAATCCGGTTCGGGCGGTAACAACACATGGGGCCATTTCACGGCAGATTCTCCGGCTGTCGCAACCGAGCAGGAGCATCATCATCATGACTCGTCTAGCCGCGTGTACCCCGCTTCCATCACATTCAAGGGACGAATCATGCGGCCATTTGGACGGTCTTGAAGAAGAAGAACGAGACTGTCTAGCTAGGAGCAAGCGCAACACCACAGCCACCACAAGCTAGCCAAGACACCGCTATTGCAGATCACCCCACCCCCTGAACGACTACTAGCAACATCACCCCTTCCAAGGAAAGAATGTACCACTACGAAAGGCCCACAATAAAGTATCATAGCACTGGAACACACACCATATTCAAAACAAGACACAACAAGACAAACAACAACAACAAGATCATCATAGGACGCAGACACACACGCACTGGCATCTTAATAATACAGACTCGACTCTGGGGATACGAATAGAATAACCATACAAGCCAACGATTTTCCCTACTTTCATCAAGTGTTTGTCCATGCCTTCATAAAAGTCGATCCGTGCCGAAAGTCCAGCTAGCTAGTAGCCTTCATTCATTCGTTCGTACTGGAAACAACTAACACTACATACATGTACTCGGTAGCTACCGGTAGCTGGCTAGCGAGGTCAATCAAACCTTCTCGTTGGACTACGATGTGAATTGTCCAATAATCTCCTCGTGACCATGTCTGTCCAGAGCCTGTGACAAAAACTGTTGCCACGATGGGACAACTAGAGTCTGATGACTCAACGAGGGAAATATTCAACAGAATCAAATCGTTACTAGTAGAAACATAGTTGCCACTTTTGCAGGCTACTTTGGGATACTTATTATTACCAACCGGGTCCTTGACCTCGCTTTTTGTGACTGCCAGGTTCTTCAGTGAGCCTCTTTATTCACCCAGCCTCCCAACCCAAGACGGATCCGGGCCACTACTGCACAACTTTTGAAAGCTGGTCTGTATACCGCAGTGCACCGGGGAGAACCAATGGCTGAGCAACTATGGTACGGTGTCAGCGAGTTGTTTGGCTTGGATTGTTGCATACGGTAGGTTGGTGTGTGTTTGCGTTTGTTGCAATCATGGTGATCATATTATGCACTCAACATGGTGGTGGCAGACGAGACGACAACGCGCGTTGGTACATTGTGTTGGCAATCATTTGATGCAGCACGAGGCGTGGCTGTATTCCATAATGCGCCGGAATGTCACCCGCTAAGCGATTGTTGGCTCCAAAGCTACGCGGCTCGACAGCTCCTCCCCAATTGACATAGGTCATCCAGTGATTATGATTGGTGATTGTTGTTGTTGCCTTTTCCGCCGATAATTGCTGCTGTTTGTCCAAGTGGTCCATAACAATGTCATTCATGACATTGGTTTGATTGACCTCGTCGTGCTCACTTTCATCATCTTGCAAGGGGAAGCTGTATCCGCTGGTTCTCCAAATGATCTTTAGCTTGGGGCGTTTCTGGTTCAACTTGGTGAGCGCGTCCAGTGTATACAGGATGCGAGCCCTCAGTGGACGTCCACCTTGTTTCTTCTGACAGTCTCCTTGTCGAACGACATCCCAAATACCCAGAGACAAAATCATAACATCCATATCAATAGTCAGATTGGAGGCTCCGGATACTTCATCCAAGAGGAAATTCTCCACAGTTTGAAGACACGGCAATTGCAAGACCACAAAGTCCTTGTTGCGGTTCTCGGGCATGGGTCGGCAAATCAGAGGCAGATGTTTGGTGTTGTTGTTATTATTATTATCCCACCCGTGGCGTCGACAGGGCTCTGTGATTTCTTTTCGATTCAGATCAATCAATGCCTCTCGGTCAATTTCTTCCAACGAGACATGCAAGTGTTCCTTGTGTTCCTGACGGCCTCGGTTGTTGTCGTGCCGCAGCAGTCCGTACAGACTCATGGCGGATCTTCGGGCCGTCGAGTCTCCGACCCATATCATGGATTGATCAATCCACATGTCTTGTAATTCCTCGGTGGAAAACAGTTTCCAACCTTTTGGTGGAATCCACCAACTGCCCACCCAGCTACCCGTCATGTCACGAGGTGTCATATTCAACTGTTGCTGTTCTTGTTGTGGAGTGCAGCCGACAGGAGACACCAAGGGTTCCACCATGGTATTCTCAGCTGCTAATAAGGGAGCATTCAATAGGTATGCATGGGCCAAGAGGGTCAGCAAGGCCATGAGACAAAAAGAGCGGTGCGAAGTAGATTTCGGAGACATTCTCATGGTAATCGCTGTGAGAGAGATGCGGTTGATCTTCTGGTGAAATGTAGTCTAATCAAATCTTATCGATCTGTACAAGTAGTCTACTGTTCTGGTTGGCTCTTTGGCAATTGTCCTTGGCTCCGTGTTGGATGAACGAGGGCTGGACGATGGACGACACCGTGACAACGAGAAAATTGATTATTTTGTGAACGTTGATACTTCGCCTGGGATTCAAATTTAAGCCGGTTGAGCTGCTGCCAACCAACCACTACCACCACCACACAAGGCACCGCAGGTGATAGACAAGACATACTAATACCGGGCGAGTCAAAAAATGACTGAATTGGAAGCAAGAGAAGTAAAGAGATACAAAGATAGAATAGAAATACTGAACAATCGAATCGACTAAAAGAATGGGTTTTCAACTAGATGTCTAAGAGATATCAAAGAGCCGAATCTAAAAACTATCCACCATATTCAAAAAACAGTTGTGAGAACTTTATCCCTATAAGGATCTTCAACAAAAAAATACCGTCACAACAAAGGCCCAGAGATACAGGGATATTACCCAGTATCAGGCACCACACAGGTGTCGTAGAAATAATGGGAGTCAAGTCTGTTTAGAGGAATCAAGTGGAAGGAAGGAAGGAAAGTAAAGAAGTATGAAAGATGGAGTAGAAATGCAAAACAATCAATAAGAAACGGGGGGAATGCAGAGGGGGGCAATTTTATGAGAGCTCTAACCCTAAGGATGACCGACCAACCAACCAACCACCACCACCACCACAATAAAGGACACCAGAGGTGTAATAGATATACCGGGCGAGCTGAATTAAAAGATGGGCCGGCATAGTAATATTGTTGCAGTTTGGCTGAAGGTAGTGTCATTAGATTTTTCCGTCTGAGCAAGTGGCGTGGTAGCTTACGGAGTTTAGGGGTGTGTGACATGAGATGTTAGATTTTTCCATCTGAGAAAGTGGCGTGGTAGCTTACCGGAGTTTAGAGGTGTGCAACGGGAGACGTTAGATTTTTCCGTGTGAGAAAGAGGCGTGGTAACTTACGGGAATTTAGAGGTGTGCAACGTGAGAGGTTAGATTTTTCCGTCTGAGAAAGTGGCGTGGTAGCTTACTGGAGTTTAGATGTGTGCAAATGTGAGGAAAATTCTAACCATAAGGATAAACAAAAACCAACCAAACCACCACAATAAACGGGGTCAGAGATCACCGGGGTCTGCCCGGTATATAAAGGCCTCAGAGATACAGGGGTAACTCCGTATGTTAATTAAAGGGCCCAGAGATACAGGGATACCCCCCTATGTAAAAGCCGGGATCAGAGATCACTGGGGTCTGGGGTCTGTTCGGTATATTTATTTTGTGAACGCCATGGAGCACAGGTCTTCACCTATTGAAATGTATTGAGTAGACATTAAAAGCATTTTATTATGTGAACGCTATAGAGCACCTTTGCCTAGTGAAATGTATTGAGTAGACGTTAGAAGCAGCTGACTATAGAGGATTGAGTGTCGCTCATTGACGCCAAGCCGGCTCGGCTACCTGGTAGTAGCCACCAGAACCAGAGCCAAAGAAGCGTTGAACTGCCACTTCTCTAAGAGAAGGAACTCGCTGACACTGCCTAGTCTGCAGCGAGCAAATCATCAAGGCTCAGCTCAGCTCGGATACCATTCTGTTAATCTCATTATTCATCTGGCATCTGCTGATCGAGTCGAATCATTTGTCCAATCCTTGAATTGTCAACCATGTTGTGGATTTTGAAGCTTTCAGAATGGTTTTGTGCCGGTGCTCGTCAAGGTTTCTCCAGGGCAATCTTGCTGTGTGTCAATGCTGCTATTCTGTTGTGGTTCTGGACAGGCAATTTGAAATATGTTCCTAGGGAAGATGCCATTGAACCTCAAAAGTATGCGTTGCAAATCATTGACCTGAATGCGGAGAACAAGAAACAGCGTCGTCAGTTGGTTCCCATCAGTGGATATGTCCCATATGGAGGAAATCTCGTGGGGGAAACCCCCTTTGCACTTTTTGGATTGTCTGTGGCCATGGACGAGACAGGGGCAACAATCGTGGTCCGCGAAGAAGGAACTGGCACTATTTTTGTCTATGAGAACACTTCCAATGGATGGACCCAGAAAGGACAAGACTTGACCGGTTTTCCTCTCTGGTCTTTTACTTTTGGATCTGGTCATTCAGTCGCAATATCAAGAGATGGCAGCATTGTTGCTGTGGGCTCTTCAGCCACTCAAGATGTCGTGGTGTTCCAGTATGACACAAGCACAGAGATGTGGTTGCAAAGAGGAAGTACAATTCAAGGTGTTGAGTTGGATGGCACTCCAATTTCTGCGTCGTTTGGTTGGGCCATCTCTATGTCAGGAGATGGAAACAAAATAGCAGTTGGGGCTCCGCATCATGATAGCCCAACTCTACGCAACATTGGGTTTGCAACAACCTACTTATGGAATGGCAACATCAATGACTGGGAGCGTGGGCTTTATGAGGCTGGCATCACCGTTGTTTCTGGACTGTACGGCGAAATTGCAGATGCATACTTGGGGTCATATGTATCATTATCTGGAGATGGCATGTTGTTTGCTGTTGGAATGCCCGGATCTAGTGCCTCATATTCTGGCTCCACGAGGTTTGGTGAGTGCCGTGCTTTCTACAATGATGGCAGAGTTATCAATCAAAGATTTGTTAATGCGGGAGCGATGTTTGGATCCACTGTCAATGACGACTTTGGCCATTCGGTGGCTCTAAACTATGATGGAAGCATCATTGCAATCAGTTCTCGTCGGTTTGATGTGGGTGGGACTGGAAGAGTTGGCAAGGTGCAGGTCTTTGAAAGAACTGACGAACGATGGATCCAGTTGGGAAGTGATCTCATTGGGGGCGAACAAGGTGATCAATTTGGGCACTCTATTGGTTTATCCAATGATGGCAAAACCCTTGTAGCTGGATCTGGACCTCTCTTCCCAGGAAGAGTCCCTGGTTCTTACACTCGCATCTACAAGTTTGATGGCACTGATTGGGTCCTTGAAGAGATCAGCAGGGCCCAAGGTTTTGATATTGATGTAAATGGGGATTATGATAGGTTGGGATGGAGTATTGCTGTGTCTGGTGATGGGACTAAAGTCCTTGTTGGAGCACCCTTGTATGATGGTTCTGACAGAGATAATGGACTTGTCCAAATGTGGGGACAAACTGACTTTCCCACATTTTCTCCTATCCTGAATCCTTTGCCTCAAGTTGGCGACCTGGGCACTGGAGGAAGCCCCACACAGACCAATTATGTTAGTAGGGCGTTTGCTTGGTGGCAGGGTGCAGTTGCCTATTTGGAAGGTTTTTTGTTTAAATAATGTGGTCTTGAATGATTGTTCCTTCGTTTTGAACCCGGTTGAGCTGCAAACAATGCTTTCAGGTGCAAGGAATCACTAGCCAGCTTCTACCAGTACCGGTATGTTTACATCTATGATAGTGATGGGCTTTCTTTGAGCTTTCCACTAGATACTCAGCAGGGCTTGTGAGCTATTGCAACTGCTGTTTGCCAAGACTGGTATTGCTTGTTGCTTGCCAACTTGTTCGGCAATGTCTTTGTTTCTACCGGTAGGATGGGGAGTCATTAGTTGATGATGAATCCAATTTTTTTGGACCGCAGCAGGTTCCTTTGTTCTGCTAACAGGGAGCACGAGCCAGATGCCGAAAACAGTAACTAGCGAAGGAGGTTGTTCGGTCAAAAGCCAAAGAATCACGCCAACAAAGTGCCGCACGACAGTCTTTCGCAGGTGCTCGCCTGTCGGGGAGAATTCCAATCCATACGAGTAACAGTAAACCCGCCGTCCACGAGATTAGGATCAGCATTGACTTCAACTTGGACACATCCCTGGGTTCCAAACAGCGCAGAATTAGATTTCCCTGATTCCTTCCTCCTGTCCGTCCACAACCGCATCAAGTTTGATTGCCATCCAAGCGAGGCTCTCCCCGCGAAATCCAGCGACCCTGTGAATTACGCGCAAAATTTTTCCACCACCATCATTACTTCGGCTCGCTCACGAGGCGGCCCTGTAGTTGCAGCCATGGTTCCGGAAGTCTGTTGGCATGACCCCACTGGCAATCCGCAGGCTCGCACAGTTCGAAAGCCAGGTTTGTTCAGCTCCCATTACATTGGAAGAATCGAATCTTTGGCTGTTGATCGTGGTTTCGAGCTGCTTTTGCAAGTTTCCAGTGCTCAATTGTCATCAACTCTTCCAGCTGCCAGCTAGTTAGTTCGAGAATAGGCGATACGGTGCATTCTCATGAATGTAGATATCCGTGTACGGTATCACGCCAAAGTGCCGTTGATACCCAGTCTTCTGCATCAGTGCCCGAACACCATTACGCATCTCGCAGTTGTCGGCAATTTTGCAAAATGCATTTTCCACTTCCACAATCACGACATGAATTTGAACCTTGCTAAAATCAATGGTTTGCAATACCAATAGTTCGGCTCCTTCCACATCCAAGGCAAACAAATCAATGGCCTCTCCAGGAGGAAAGATATGGTCCAACACTGGTTGCAGCGGACCACAGGGAACCTTGACCGTTTCCGTTCCCTCATAGGCTTTTGCTAGACCAGAAACACCGGCATTGGTCCAAACGGCGGCATGAAAATCCACCTCACCGGGTTGTCGGCAGGAGGGTGCAAAACCCATGGAATGAGCTTGTGGTCGATTTACCCGCACCTCAGGGAACACGGTGGGATTGGCTTCAATGAGGAGTCCTTTCCAGCCCAAACAAACATCAAAGAACCGACTGTTGGCTTCCTTCATGCCATTGTAGGCACCCAGTTCGACATAGGTTCCCTTCTTGTTATTGGCGCTATTGTGCTGGAAGATGCGATTCCATAGGATTTGATCTTCGTTGTTTTCGGATCGGTGCTTTTTATCCTGAGCAAAGAATGTTTCATAATTGGGTGGCGCACCGCAATCCAGGTCGGGCCACGAAAAGAACTGGAGTGGAGGCGTATACTGGTATTTCGTCTGGTCGAATCCTTGTGGTGGTGGCTTATTGTCGGTGGTGGTGCTGGTGGTGGATGGTGGAATCACTACTGCAGTGGCTTCTTTGGGTTTTGTGGGTGCAAGAGTGGCTTTCGCTGGTGCGAAAGTGGCCTTCGCTGGGGGCTGATTGTTTTGTGGCGGTGGTGGTGGTAATGCAACATGGTCGAGTCGGAGATGATGACTGTCGGTCTTGTGCTGGAACGAGAAGAGGCTGACTAAACCTAACGTCAACACGCTCAATAATAGACTCAAAAGTGGAAGGCTCAATACAAACGGTGCCCTTGATGATTTTGATTTAGCAGTAGTAGAGCGGCTTCCCAAGGCTCTCCGTTGCAACGTTCTCGCCATTTGGCCTTCTGTTACAGAGACCTCAGTCTTCCTGTCCAACAAGCACAAGCACAGCTGTGGGATGAGATGAGATCTTTCTTGCTTTTCTTGTTGGCATCCGGGATCCGGGAATGCAAAAGTCTTCGGTCACTTTTGTTGCGTCAGCTGACCACTCACTTTCCACAGTCGAGACATCGACAAGAGAGCGTGGAGAGAGTGGCCCCAGCTTAGAGGACTATTGAGACAAAATCGGAGATCCTAGTTGCCCAAGGCACAGATGGGTACCGCTGCCACAGAAAGGACAGTGGGGGGGGGCGGACCTTGGGGAGCGCCGTGTGAGGGCAAGGACTTTTAAAATTGCTCGCTTATCTTCAGTGCTTTTGGGACGTTTTGCTTCGTAATGTTTTCTGTGAATTGCTCCGCAATTCCAACATCACTCGAAAGGAATATGGAAAGCAGTAAGAACCTAAATAGTTAGCTAGATGTTCAGGCTGACTGTACGGGAACGTCCAGGTTCCAAACCTGCCTCCCGAGGCCAGCAAAACTACTGTGGCAGGAACTCAACTCGACTCACTCGAGCCTCCAAAGCAGAGCGATTGTGTGGAGCCAGCATACAGCTGAGCAACGTGACCAAACGAAGAATAGGCAAAATGGACCATTCCATAAGCCACACCTACGTTTGCTCGAAGCGACTTCTCACTATTTCTCTCCGGTTTTGCCTCCGTGCACTACACGGGTTCTGTGGGTTTATGATGTCCCCCCTCGTACACGGATAAGCGAGACCGGAGAGCTTCCAACTCCAGCTCCAACTCTTCCATACTTTTTCTTCCTTTCGGGGAGCCTTCCATCATTTGATCGGACGACCCCGGTTCGTCTTTAAAGGTGAGCCTCGAAATCGATCCTTCATTATTTGGTGTGGTGATTGCCTCGATGTTGTCGTTTCGGGCCGGGCTAATATTATTACTGTCCAGACCAGATATGTGCTTCTTTGCAGATTGGGTGGTAGTGCCACGCTGTCGTTTTCGATGATGTGCCATTATGGGCGCAAAGATAAACAGCAGTGTGGATGTATGCACTGCAAACACTTCCATGGACAAGAGAACGTGCAGTGCATTGACATCATCTGGACCCTGCAAGAATTCTTCTGTTGGTGAGACTATGATAAGTGATATGATGGTTGTGAAGAGGGCCAAGGCAACACCTCTGGCTTCACTAAAGTCACTGTCAATGTCCTTGGCGCGATAGGCTTGGACGCACAGAATAATCAGAGCAATAAAATTGACAAGACTCAACAGGAGATCCAACACAACACCAATAATCTGTATGTTGTCACATTTACTGGCTTCTCCTTCCTTGTGGGTCCATGTGGGTGGGTCAGTCGCGGTCATGACAATGAGGGAGATCACGTTGATGGACATGAGAATGACAAATGGCTTGAGGACATCTTGTATTGTGACAACTTTCCGTTGAAAGCCTTGGGCGTGAAAAATCTCATTGACTCTCTTGAGCTTGGAAAACAAGGCAGAATCGGTAATGGTAACCCCCAGGTGTTCGAACCAAGGCAGCGAAGCACATGCGGCATTGATGTTGGCTGTGTTTTGAGGATTGGCTCCCATTGGAATGATAACTAAAGAGGAAACCACGATTCCCAAACAAATCAAGAAAAGGAATTCTGGCTGCATCATCTTGACCACAGTTGCATTTCGATTCCAAACAATCCAAGTCATCAGAAAGACTCCGAGTGCGGTAGGGATGGACATCAGGACCAAACCTGCAATCCGGACTCCCTCTGACAAGACCCCATACTCCTCTTCCTCCATTGTTGGGTCCAATGTTGCTGGTAGATGAGCTTCGTCCATGGTTGTTTAGTTGTCTTTCGTGATGACTTCTGACTCTCAATTATAGTGGATTAGTTAGAATACGAGCGGGAAGAGGACGCTGTTTGCCTTGGCTGACTACTGCCTTCTGGGGGGAAACAGGGCACTCTTCGCTTTGTCGTCGCGACTATGCAAACCGGGTACCGGTACATTGCACATGTACCGGTACCGTTGTACCGGTTGCTAAGAGACCATGGTGACACATTGGTGACACTCAGCGACCTTCTACGAAAACTGAACATTTAAGAAATCAACAAAGGCAACTCTGCTGCAGAAGCTATTCATTAAATAAATGCTTTACTACCAGCTAGGTAGCTTGTACGTACGGTACTATTAGCGCTAGCTAGCTAAGCTACTAAGAAGTACCAGGCACCTCTCTCCGGTACTGTATTCAAGTTGGCAAGCTCGGGCACTGGTTCACCGCGAAGAGGCACCATGGTCAATCTCCTGTTGAGTGCTCAGAGCAACGGGTGGATTGGCTCTACCGGTATGGGCTCCTGCTGGCTACTATCCCAGAGACAGCCAGTCTACCGTAAGTCAGAAGCATGTGTGAGTGACAGTCTCCTCCATTGCTTGCGCTGTTGGAGTCATGGCAATGGGGCTTCCTTCGCATCAAGTGCAATTGGAAAATGCTCTAGCTAGCTAGAGCTAGACGAAAGTGGAAAACACGCAGTTGCTAATACTAGTAACTAGTTAATTAAGCAAAGCAATAAATATGCACCAGAGATGTGAGTGACACAGACGTGTCCCACTGTTACTACTTTTGCGGGACAACAACGTGTAGAGCCATTTCCTCGACTTGGCCCAGACCTTCATTGGTTCCCACAAACAAATCTTTCATTGCAAGAGAAGCCTTCAATTCCAAGCTATCGTCCTTGTTCTTGAGGACCTTGAGCAGAGCAGGTGACTTTACATCTATGCCATGCTGCTCACTAAAGGCCACGCGTAGATCCGAGACATCAGCTTTCACGGACAGACCACGGACTTTGTCACGGCAGACTTTGCCAGAATCCTGATCAGTCCAGCATACCCAGACATTTTGGGTGCCGCCTTCTTCCTCCGGCTTGGCTTTCTCACAGCCAGTATTGAGCCCGACGATGGTGTCGCAGAATACAGCAACAATCAGATTCAGCACGACGAAACCTGTAATGCTGACAAAGACAACGAATGGAAGCCACGCCCATGGATGGAACACCATGACTTCGCGAGCAATATTGCTCCATGAGTCAAGAGTCATGATCTGGAATAGCGTAAAACAGGTGTTGTCCAGGCGACCAAAGTAATTCTGGGAGGTGACACCCGTTTTATAAAGGTCTCGGAAGAGCACTGTGAACATGACGGCAAAGACGTAGCCAATCACCATGAGAATCATACCAATTGCACACAGCCTTGACATGGCACCAGAAATGGCTAGAGAATAGAAACGCTCCGTTAGTCTGGCTTGCCTTCACCATGCAATGCGGGTTCTTTGTTTTGCTTTTTCTAAAGTAAGTGGCACTCACCTGACAAGAGATTCTTCATCACTTGCATGCGGGACAATACCCCAGAGGCACGCAAAAGCCGAAAGGTCATAAAGATCTGAATTCCCGTAAAAAACCAGCTCAAGAGGACAATCGCAAACTCAAAGACCAACCATCCATTCAAGATGAACCTCCAGCCATGCAAGACAAGCTGCATGAATACTTCAATGGTGAAAACGATGAGGATGAGAATCGAGATTCCATCCAAAACGTCGTTCACAGTGGGGTTTGGAAAGTCAAAGGTAGCCAATCCTGTCAGAATGGCATTCACCACAATCAAGGACAAAACGAAGGCTTGCACGTAAAGACCATTGACAAAGGTTCCACAACGATTGCGACAGCCGTAAACCTCAGTTTCGGTAGGCGGAGTTTCGGCCTTGCCTTGGCCATTGGCGTTGCCGCCTTCCATGAGCTCATCCTTCAGAGATTCCATTGTTCTTGTTGGCTTTCAGACAAAAGCTTTTTGTGTGCTCACTCTCTGGGCTGCTCTGGATTGACCAGGCAAAGTCCGTACCGGTACAGGTACCGTTACGTACCGGTCTTATGCTGTGAACCTAGTGATGCCGGTTTTTTAATCACTTCCACCGCTAAAGATATATGCATAAAACTTCCACCAGTCACTTCTCCCTCCGTTGCCTTTTTAATAAAAGTATTAAGACAAAAAAAGTGAAACCTAGTTTCTACGCAGCTTGCTTGCGTACCGGTACAGAGAGCTATAGTTTCACGTAAATCTAGTACGTACCAGGTACTAGTTCACTAGTCTAGTTCTACGACTGTACTCAGCCTGCTGCGAAAATTTCTATTCAGTGAAGTCAAAAGAAACCCTTCCCCGCAGAGGGAGGGGAAGTTGAAAGAGAGGAGGAGGAGAGGAGGAGGTTCTTAGCTTTAGATGTCATGTCAACTGTAGCTTCCTAGTTTTATGTATAGCGCAGACAAGCTGTGCTCGCCCAGAGCAGCTAGGCACGACTAGTAGAGGATTAGGTGAGTGGAGAGACTCGGCCATTTACTGAACCAACCGTCTCCAGTCCCCAGGGTACCATTCGGGACTGGGGAGTCCCGGATGGATCCCACACGGCGGAAGGGAGTCCCGGGAATGTGATGTTCCACGGGACAGCCTTGAGTCGTGCAACCAGGGAGGGAGAGGTGGGTTAATATAATCTAGGTTCTTGCTTTCAGCGTCGGCTGAATGAAGAATTGTGAGCTGAGAGAGAGACAACCTTCTTGCGATCGGCAGTTCAATGGCTGATCTTGGCTAGGTCGACGGCTTTAGTGATTCATGGTTGCCGCTGCTGATCTTGCCAAATTGGTCTTGGACAAGTATCGTTGCCTTACGGGTAATCTTGTTCGAGAGGCATTGAGGAGCTGATGCGGTGCATCATCATGTGGGGTATCCATTTCCGGAACGCAGGTGATGACCTGTGAGATGTAGAGATGTACTTGAGTTGTAGGTGAGGAGCGTGGGAATTAATTTTGCAAATTGTGAGATGGTCCTCTCGGCAACCATGATTAGGGTCATCGATGCGAGAACCCATCAGGGTTCAAGTTTCCACGCTGCGGGGCATGGAAACTCGGACGGGGGGTTCCCCAGGCGTGCTGCTGCTCAACACCGAGCGCAGACAAGCTGCGCTCGCCCAGAGCAGCTAGGCACGACTAGTAGAGGATTAGGTGAGTGGAGAGACTCGGCCATTTACTGAGCCGACCGTCTCCAGTCCCCGGGGTACCATTCGGGACTGGGGAGTCCTGGATGGATCCAACACGGCGGAAGGGAGTCCCGGGAATGTGATGTTCCACGGGACAGCCTTGAGTCGTGCAACCCAAAAGCCAAAGGCAGAACAGGGAGGGAGCGTAGCGGGGTGGGAGAAGTGACCCCTGTCCAGGCGTAGGCAAGGACAGGGGGCCGAGGACTAAGGTAGGTTAGTCCTCGTAGAGTTCTTCGTGAAGAAGAATCTCATTGAAGTGTTGGGGCACTTGCGCCGGGAGGAGGTGGCGATCGTAGGTGCCTCCCGGGAAGTTGTACGCCCCATGGTCCAACATCTGTTCGGAGTAGTGGTGGGTGGCGGCAGCGGCTTGGATGCGCAGGTAGCGGAGCATGGCATCGGACTTCCAGCGGCCGAGAAGGCGGATGGCATCCTAGTCAACATGTGCGCAGAGAAGGGCTGTGACACCACCAGGACGGAGGGAGCGGGCAGAGACCTTGTCAGGGTTGATGCCGGTGTCGTGGGAGATGAGGGCCGCAGCGTGGCGGAGGGCGTTGGTGATGAACTGGGGCAGAGCCACGGATCAGAGGTCAGGCGGTGGCCCACGGATTTGCCGCAGACAGCATTCTTTTGGTCAGTGAACGTAAACGTGGCATCAGTGAGGCACGCGTGGTTCTTCGTGTCATTCAAAGAGATGGTGTCTCCGCGGACTGGGAGGCCGCTTCAGACAGTGAAGGAGACATCACAGAGGCGAAAGGCTTGGCTCCGGGATTCAGGGTTCCCGGTGTCCAGGTACTCCGCATGGCGTAGAAGCCAGAAGAAGGCCAGGATGCAGAGGTCGCGGACGTGGCGGTTGATGGTTCCCCAGGTGGCGTCATCGTAGTCCAGGGCGTCGAGGAGCATAGCTCGGAGGATGGAGAGGTTGACGGGGTAGGCTCGGTCAGGGGGTCCATCCTCATCCATGAGTCCTTTGAGGAAAGCAGCGAGTATTGGATGGTTGTGGTCGGATCCTGCTTTGAGCTTTCTGGGATCAGGGTGACCCAGGTCAGTGATCCCCTTCCCGACGGCGAGAAGGGCCTTGTCCACTGAGTCAGTTTGGACATTGTTAGACTGGCGGTAACGGTGTCCGAAGACGAGGAGGTAGCAGGCTTGGATTTCTTGGTCAGGGAATATCACAGAGGGATGGGTTAATGCCGAGGCCCGTGCAGAAGTCACACCATCGTCCGAAGGTTCGGTCTCGGGCGGCGGCCGTCTTGGAGACAATGTTCTTGGAAGCGGTCTGCAGCGCAAGGCGGAGATCAAGTGTGAACTGACCTTGGGTGGCAGAGTCAACTCCTGCCAGGGTCTGTTCTGCGGATAGCGCTGTTCAGTTCAAAGTGGGCGAGAAGTTCAGGCAGGGTGAGGTGTTGCAGACGCGACGCATCATCAGCCATCACGTTGGCATGACCCGGGATGTAGGATGAGAGGGCGCAGTAGCGGTGCTCTCGCTGGTGTCAGCAGGCGTAGTTGCAGAGGAACGCCGCGGGTCCATCTGAAGTCACCGCCCCTTTGGAGACTCTGGAGACGGCCGGGGTGTTGTCTGAGAGAGTGTAGAGGGTGGCGTAGGTGACGCAGTGCTGCGTTGCTTGCAAGGAGTGTTGCGCAAGGATGGCGGCTTGCTCGAGGTCACTGTTGGTGACGGTCCCCTTAGGGTTGTCCGTGGACACGAGCTGAGCCTGCACATCAGGAGGGAACGGGAACCTCCATAGGTAGGGAGTTTCCTCGGAGTCAAAGTAGACACCGCCCATTCCCGCCTTGGCGGCGTCAGTGGCGCCGAAGAAGGATGGGTCCTGGGTGTTGGAGGAAACATACCTGACACCTCTTTACTATTGACTCGTGTATTAAACATCTAGTCCGGTTCGCATGTAAATTGATCATGCAAGGAACCAAGGGAGTTTTAGGTCTAAAGTGTTGCGGGTGCGGCCTTGTATCAGCCAAACCGATAGTCCTGACATCAAATGACCTCTGTTCCGACCAGGTCATCAACTTGGATCCCACGTCGCTGTCGACCTTCTCAAGTAGAAGTCAACTCTGTCGATGGTCGCCTTCTTTGGGAACAAGCCACGATGGATGGTCTTGATGTATTTAGCAATGGGAACTCTTGGTTGAGCCTTGCATCACATATCAATCTGATCCTCTTGAGCAACTCAATGGGATCCAGCTTGACTGCATCTCGTAGTCTCCTAACCTCGTAAGCTTGGATTTCATGGCGTCGGTACAGTATAGTCACCTGGATGGTGGTTGCACCTGTCTTCGAGAATGTTCTCATAGGATCGAGTCGACTTGTCTAGATGGATGACTTTGCCCTGTACTCGGCTCAGTTCAAAGCATCGTACTCTTGCCCTTGGGGATCAGCAAGTGATACTTGGATGTTGGCTTGGTCGGCTTTGGTAGGTGCCTGACTTGTCATGGTCAATGGCCAATGAAGCCAGTGGCACATCATTCCACTCAGGCTTGACCCTTAGATCCGGACAATGTGTGTCAGGGTCTCTTCAAAAGGATAATACCTGGTGTCAGCCGTTCCATTTGGATGAACGGAGGAAACTGACGCTTGAAACTTGTTCTGGTTCCTGTAGCTGTTTGCCTCTTCCTTGGTGGCTTCTTCCTGAGGAACTTAAATCCCTACCCCCCCTAGAAGGGGATCTTCCTCCACCACGACCACCTCTTCTTTGGAATCTCATGGTTGCCGGTTGGTGTGGTAATGCATCTCTGTGCTTGCTTGTTCCTTGAACTAGCTTGTTTCTTGTGTGGATTCTCCTCAGGAAGGATCTCACGACGGCACTACTCTTGTAGTGTGCCTGTAAAAGCTTCTGTTGGCTGGATAGCCTTCTTTTTGTCACTCTTGGTGCACCTGGTGGTGGCTGGATAGCCTCTGTCTTTTTTTGACAGCTCACGTGAATTCCAGAGGAACTCGTGTGTTCTTCTGTTCTGGTTGTGGCCTTGGGTAGTAGCGAACTGCCTCTGTTGGTCTCCTTTGGGTGTTCTGCTCTTGCAGATGTTTGTGTATGCTTAGATGAGTGGCGCTGTGTGAGTTGACAGTCGTGAAACAAGTCTCGGTTAAGTGGCCTCTTCGAGTACAGTTCTCGAATCGTTACCGGGATTTTTGTGGTTCTCTTCACAATAGCACGTATCACTCGAAATCAACCTATCTTACCTTCAATTTTGGAGTTAGAAGCTTGCACTGATAAACTCAGAAAGAATTGCGGGCTAGATGTCCTCATCTGATTGATGTATGGGACCTCTCTGCTTGCAACGCCTGTGTCGCGACTTTTCTTGATCGCCGTTCGATGAGTCTCTGCTCGTTGTGATGAGACGGACGAAAATCTCTCGCGTGCTTTCGATGAGTATGAATGATAACTCACTGGATAAGTGGACTTACGCGATTGGTGACAGTAGCGAATCCGTGTGGAATCTTCCGCTTGATAACCTGGTCGTACGTTAGATCTCTTCAGTTCCGGCCGGAAACTGTTTCGATCTGTTCGTGTAGCCGGTGACTGAAGATGGGATTTTCTTCCCGCACACCTTTTCCTGTTAGAGGTTTTCGGTATGCTCTTTATAGTTTGTCTATTGGCGTATTTGCGCACCATCTTCCTCTGTTGCAGGTGTTACTCTACTTGCTTTGATGATAGTCTTGGATCAACTTGGTGATATCAATCTCGAGATGGTTGATCCTGCTTCGAACTCGAGATGAGACTTT